GGCATGAGTCACTGGCACCCGGCTGAGATATTTTTATCTTCAGTTAACTAGCAAAAAGCCCAAAGCTCAAATGGTAAAACACCAGCTTCAAGCAGAAAAGCCATGGAAGAGTGCAAGGCTCTGAGTTCAAGCCTCGATACCAGCAAATCAAAGACTAAAACACAAAATCCACATAGCTGCTAGCATAACTCAGTGACACAGATGTTTAAAAGACAACAACAAAAATGAGACAGCCTGAGTTCCTGCTTATACCTACACAGAACTATAAAGAGGGAGAGGCGCATGATGCAACCTAACTCTATCCAAAGTTCACAGATACTTTTTCAGTTGTTAAGAGCTCCAAGCTCCTCCAAATGACCGTGTGGCATATGATGCAGAGTGCACAAGCTGTACAGACATTTGGAGAAATGTCCACCACCCAAAGCCTGTTTTTCCAAAAAGAATGACAGTTGGCTGGCTGGCCGCCAGGGCCTCAGCTCTGAGGAGCGGCCGCCTCACCACAGGGCCACAGAGCGGCCAGGCACACCACTCAGGTCACACTCAGGCTTCTGGGATCCCAGGGCTCCTCCCCAGTGCATCTCAGAGCCACCTGCAGGGCGTTGGCACCCAGCTTGATTTGGTAGTTAAGTATCCACGCACCTGAGTCTTTCATTATCATGAGTGCATTCCTCCATGGGTTAAAGAATTACTTCTAGGAAGCTTCTGCTTGGACCATGGCACGTGAAACTGCCGGTCCTCAACCCTGGCAGGACAGAGGGCACTCACTGGGGCAAAACGAGGGCCCAGGGCTTTGGACTCCTGGAGGATATCTGGCAAGAAGTGGAGTGTGTGGGAGTCCTTGGTCAGGCAGGGGTCAGCGGGGATGGGGTGGGAGGGGCAATGGTTGAGACCAGAGCCGGAGCTCTGGGCCAGGAGAAGTTTCCATGGTTGCATTAAGCAAGGATTTGGACTGTGCATCCCCGGAATGTGGGATGGCCCCAGGGAAGCCCGCAGCCTGCCTGGTCTGTTGCTTACTACAAGGGTTTGGGAGCTGGCTGGTGCTCTCAGGCTCGGGTGTCAGCAGCGTCTGGCTAGCCACCAGCTGCTAAGGGGCTTCTCGGAGACGAGGCCTTCTGTGAACCCTGCAGTTTGAAAAGCATTGCTAGTTCAAGGCCACGCAGCTGCTGGGGAGAAATAGAGCTGGCGATGAACCCAGGGGTCACCTGTGGGTCCAGCCTTCCTCCCCGTGTCTCAGCCAGTAAGGGTGCTGACAGGACTGGGCGTGGTGCTTGAGATAACTTCTGACATCAGGCCTTGGTCACAGAATGTCACAGTGAGAATTCAGGTTCCACCTTGGCTTGGAAGGGACAGCAGGGCTAGGGTGATGTCTGGTTCCGGCCGTCTCTGAGGACCGAGATTGGTCACACAGACTCTGACCGGGCTCAGGGGAAGCAGGAGTATCCAGCGAGGCTTGCTCGCAGATGGGCAGAATAAGGGCTAGGGGTATGGCATAGAGGGACAGTGCTTACAAGGCATGCAGGAGGCCCTGGGTTCAACCAGCAGCACCAAAAGATAATCACAATGCAGTACAAGATCGACACAAGTTAGTTCACATTGAGCACAATAACTTCATTACCTTAGGTCCTTGATGCAAAACTTTGGCCTTAGGAATGAAAGGCCGACTTTAAAATGAAAGGCAAATGAGAACACTGTTTTCCCTGGTGTCTGGAGGAGGCATCTGACGGGCCCGTGTGGGTCAGCGGAACCTAAGTGTTGAGTTGGAACTGTGGGGGTCAAGGCCAGAAGGCATGGTGAGAATCTCTGCAGTGTCTGTACACAGTCCTTGGTGTGAGAGCACTCACCAGTCCTGTGTGCTATGGGTAAAAGTTGGTCTTTGATGGTTGTACGCCAAATGTGCTTCTAACACCACTGGGCTCAGGGGTGCTGCATGGTGGGGACCCCAACGTGAGGCCTCACTCACAGGGAGGGGCCTGGGAAAGCGGGTAGGTAGAAGCCTGTGGATAGGAGGATGCTGGCAGGAAGGGCACTGGGGCGGGGCGGGACAGGCTGCAGCCAGAGCAGATCGGAGTAGGGTCTGACAGGGTCCTGGGCTGCCCAACCACTGCAGAGAAGACCACCTCCCTCTGGACGAATGAGGAGGGTGTCAGCAACCCGCAGTGGTGAGCAAAGCCAGCAGGCGGCACTAGTGGCAGGGCTCTGCTGGGCCCTGGGAGGAGTCAAGTGTGGTTAGAGCGTCCTTGTTAAACCCCCCTAAGACGAGGCTTTGCTGTAAGCACCTGTCTGAAAGTTTGCTTTTCTCTTAAATGTGTTTGAAACGTTGGGGGCTGGGGTGATTTAGCTCCCTAATTGGCCCTTCCCTGGCCCAGGATGCTTTATGAGTGGGCACCAGCCTGCTAGCCCGCATGCTGTGCTGGCTGTCTTGAATTCCCCCCGACACACCTGGGAGCTCCACATGGAAGGCACTGTGCCTGGACTGGACGGGACTTTTTGGCATTTCAAGTCTCAGCAAACTCTCCATGATCCCAAGTCTATTCCCACCCAGGCCACTCAGGGACCTCATCCCCTTGAGGCCCAGCAGAAGACTCATGATTGGCGTAAAGACGGTCCATTTGCATAAGGGCTCGCCATGATTGGTGCAAACTCAGAACTTCATTTGCATGAAGGGCTTGCCCCCTTGGTGCAGACCCCTTCCTGTGCTGCCCTCTTCTGGTGCTGCAATATTCGGTCCCTATAAAGACTTGCTCTAGAGGGGTCTTGCCTGACTTCACTGAGCTGATAGTGATGAAAAAGAGAAGGAATGGCAGCAAGGCAAGCGGTAGTACAACCGTGAGAGCTGAGTGGGGAGGAAGCCAGCACAGCGGCAGGCGGAGCAGCGGCCGCAGCAGAGGAGCCAGTGCGCAGCACCGCGGTGGGAGTCGGCTGTGGAGACAGCAGAAGTGACGCTGGCTGCCTGGGATCTGACCTCTCGCCACAAAGAGATCGGGGTCAGAGCCCAGTGCCACGCACCTGTCGGGGCCTCAGGCCTGCGTTGCTGCCCTTGCTGTGAACAGCCCTGTGTCACTCACTGCTGTCATTCCAGGGCCTAGGATAACTGGAGAAGCTTCTTGCCTACCCACCATTTCCAGCTGGGCAAAGCAAGAGCAAGCAGCTGGTGAGTCTGGAACGATGGGGTGAGAAGCCTGTGGCTGCCCATGCTGCCTCCTTCCGACTCTCCACCGTCTGTCATGGATTCTATTCTGCAGCATCAATGTCTGAATGGTGTGCCATGCTGGGGGCCTGGTCTGTAGCAGGGTTAGCTGTCCCTCCTCTGGTCTCAGCCACACTCCGGCACACAGCACTTCTTTTTTTTGTTGTTGGTTATGGGGCTTGAACTCTGGGCATGGGCGCTGTCCCTCAGCTCTTCAGCTCAAAGTGAGCGCTTTACTACTTAAGCCACAGCGCCACTTCTGTTTTTCTGGTGGTTTATTGGAGATAAGAGTCTCACAGACTTTCCTGCCTCAGATCGCAGCCTCCTGAGTAGCTAGGATTACAGGCGTGAGCCACCACACCTGGCTAAATTTTATGTAACATTTTTTTTTGCCAGTCTTGGGGCTAGAATTCTGGGTCTGGGCACGGTCCCTAAGCTCCCTTTGCTCAAGGCTAGTACTCTACCACTTGAGCCACAGCACCACTTCTGGCTTTTTCTGTGTATGTGGCACTGTTGAATCAAACCCAGGGCTCCATGCATGCTAGGCTAGCACCCTACCACTGAGCCACCTTCCCAGCCCACACAGCACTTCTTAATGAATGGGATGCCATTTAATCAACGCCTGTGCCAGGCAGCACTCACATGCCAGGTTCTTACCTTGCCGACCCCTCACGGCAGTTATGTGTGACAGGTTTGCTCGCGCATCGTGGAGCTCAGATCAGCAACGACTTCCAGATCACCCCCCAAAATAACCTATGTGAAACTTCTTTTAAAACCCTCTTGGCCATTCTCCCTATCTGGCAGCAGATGCAGGCTGGGGAGAAAGACACTGTCATTTTCACAGGACCAAGCTGCTGCGGGCCAGGGACAGAGGCTGGGAGAAGGGTTCCCTACGTACAAGCGAACGGAGGAGAGCCGACCCCTGCCTGTGGCACAGAGCCATCCTGTGCCCTCAGGAGAGCCTGCAGGTGGCCGGCATCCCTTCGAGTTCAGCCAGTTTGTCCCAGAAAACACCACAAAGCCCAGCTTCTGTGGACATCCTGTGTGGAATATTTATTTTACACGCACATACATGCACATAAGATTCATTAACAGTATAAGCAGTGGGATATAGCTTTATACCTCGTAAGTTTAAATATAAATAACCTGCGCCGCCTGACTGGCACAGGGAGGCTGAAGTCCAGGAGATCCCCTCAGCTGCGTGGGTCAGAAGGGGAGACTGTATCTGAAGAGGAGTCTACATAAAACCCAGCCCCATCCTCATTTTGAAGGCAGAAAGAAGCAAGGAGGGTTTTGGTTCACTATCCCCAGGCCTGTCAAGTAACAGGGTGGTCGCAGGATGGAGGAAGCAGGGCTTAGGGGGTCACAGGATGGAGGAGGCGGGGCTTGGGGGTCACAGGATGGAGGAGGCGGGGCTTGGGGGTCACAGGATGGAGGAGGCGGGGCTTGGGGGGTCACAGGATGGAGGAGGCAGGGATTGGGGGTCACAGGATGGAGGAGGCAGGGATTGGGGGTCACAGGATGGAGGAGGCGGGGTTTGGGGGGTCACAGAATGGAGGAGGCGGGGCTTGGGGGG